ATTCTGTATTTATGAAGGCAATGAACTTCCAGCCCCCTGAGCTGCATGCTTCCCCCTCCCCCCACTTTGTTTCTCTTGGCTCCTCTAAAAGGGAAAATCAGGATGTGTTTTACTTTGGAAAAATAAAATTGGCATCACTCCTGTCTGAGAAGACCTCTCTACGATGGAAAATGAGTAAATAAACCACTCACTGCAGCTTTCCCTGAAGAGATTAATACACTGGACTGTGCTGAACAGTGCACTTCTGAGAGGAAACGGGGAATACACCAAAGTGACCTCCTTGACCCAAACGTTCCAGAGTTTGTCTACTCCAATCATTGCTCAATTGCGTTTTACCCAAAGTCATCTTCTTCCCAATGGCAAAATTTCAGAACTTGTTTTACCCAAGAATTCAAGCAATGCTGATCTGGGTTCCCATCCACTTGTGCAGTACAAGAGTTTAATGATTTATGAAGGCATGAGTTTGTTTTCTGTTGAATAAGTATCTATGCATGACAAAAGATGTGCCAGCAATATGTTTAAAGGGGAAGACAGCATTTTTCAGATGATTATGGCATTTTGCTTTAAGTCTTGTGGTGCACAGAACTCCCGAACACATGCTACAGCCATCCAGAAACCCGGATCTATTACAGTTAATTATTGTACTAATTCTTGCCATACGTTAGTTGAGAGCTTATTGTAAATTCTCCTATCCACCCATTATTCAGAATGATTCCCAAGTCCTTTCCATGAATGATATTCCAAACCATAGGTTATTAGAACTATGAATTGCAAATATTTAGAATGAATTGCACAATTTGCGCTGCAGCCAGAGAAACAAACATTTGTGTATGACATACGAGTTGCAATCTCAGCCATTGAAAAATGAATAGGGCATGAATTTCGGATTGTAGCCACACCTGCAGACTTCTATTCACCATTTGCATGTGTCCTGCCTGAATTCTGCAGTTGATGGTACACGTCAGAACTGAAATAGGTGAATATCCAGGGGTAAAAAACCAGGGTTCTGGCAATTCCTACACTTGCAGAAAGCAAACTTGGAAAACAGGCAAATCAAATTTTTCTTTCAAAGCTGAATATTTCATTCTAATATTCTTTCCCATATACACACAGATCCAGCTCTAACCAAATCCTATCTCCCGGCTGTTCACGACATCTTCAAAACTCGTTTTGCACCATGTCATACCCCACCCCAGGAACGGCTGCCTCTCACACCTTGGAGAGTTCAAGAACAAAATGGGTGACAGGAAATCATTTCCCCATCTTCTGGGTCATGATTTAGGGATCAAATGGGGCAGTTGCCAGGGGATTAAGAAAGCTGTGGTCACCCTCATGTCACGGTCGAACCACTGTGTCTGCTCCCTCGCCCCATCGCCACTGTGGTTGTGTCTGGTTCCAGGTGTATGTAAAGAGTCTCCCTGCCCGGGTCACCCAGAGCACCACAGTCTTCACAGATCACTTGAAAAATAAATTAAAAAAAAGAAGGAATGAGAACTGTCTCCCAAGCGGTCTCTCAGTCTGTGTGTGGTGAGGGCGTCTGCCTCTTCTCACTGCCGTGTTTTACCGCACTCTGCTCCTCCTTCTTCTTTTTTTCTCATTCCTAATATAAATGTGAAAAATTCCAAAATGGGAATGTCAGAACACTTTGACACTGAAGCTACCAGAAGAAAAAAAGAAGAAATGCCTTCCCTCCCTACAAGGCACTCTCACAGGTCAGATGCATCCAAGAGCAAGAGCCTGAATTTTAAGGGTGACAAACATATTCTCTGCACTTGCAAACGCACCAGTGAGGTGACTGTGAACAAGAACAGAACGGTTTGGACAGGTAGAGCTGAAGGGAACTTCAGGATCACCTCAATATTAGAATTAGAGAGGAGTTTGAAATCCCAGTCCTACTGTCAACCACTAAATGACTCACGTCAGCCTAATAGAGAATTGCAGACCCCTGCGGTTTTTGGGATGGATCTCTGCCCTAGATTCACACACGGTCGGACCGGCTCTCCACTGCTCTCCCTGCCAGGGTACGAAAAGCACCTTTAAAATCCCACTTGTACAAATTCCCATTTGCAGAAGTGCTTGGTCAGGAAGAAACAACTCTGAGGCTGGAAAAGAAAAGAGTGTGAACTGGGTCCAGCCCCAGGCAGCTTCTCAGCTGGGTTAGTATGCAGCCAACCTGTACAGAAAGATTTCAATATTTCAGCTGCTGGGCACAAACCCTTTACACTTCCATGCTAGTAAACCAATATACCTTGAGAGAACCTGCCTCATTGAATTTCTCTTCCATTCATGCTGAGTCCAAGCTTTTTTTGCATTTAAGAGAGAAGCACTAAAGAAATATGAATTCCTCAAGTGAGGTTAACTGTCCAAAGACTGCAGCTAGTCGGTTTTCCTCTAATCCCCACACCTCTATCATCATCATCTGCACCAGGGAAAGAAGTCATGCTTTTCTCATCAGTTACAAAGCTGAAGAAAACAGCAAATAATTGCTCTCTGAAGTGCTGATGTGCAGAGCCACATCCCTCCGGCACGCAGAGGGAGGAGGGGATGCTGCAGTGGGAAGCAAGTGCCTTCTGCAGAGCTGGAGCGATACGGAAAGGCAGGAGAGAATCTGGCTCATGCTTGTAGCATGTTGAAGAGAGGCAACACGTTCTTATCCCTAAACATACTCATAAAAGCTAGAAGGGAACAGGACCTTGTGCGGGTTTGGTTCTTATGGGGCCTTTTGCAATGGTTGTCACATCTAGATCGACAGGATTTTTATGCATTTCCATGGATAACTTTTATGTGGGAGCAGGGTGGTACAAGTGGGAGGGAGAAGCTGGAGAAGAGGAAGGCCTGATCTCAGCTCTATGGTGGGATCCACCATTAACTGCAGCCCACGGGAGCCCCCGCAGCTGGTCAGGCCAGCTGAGACCATGGCCACCCCTGGCTTTGGAGAGGAGGGGTACCACATTGACTTTGGCCATTCCAGGGATATCAATATGCTTAAAAAGAGTCTCAAAACGAGGAGTTTGTCAGCTCAGGGACGCTCAGCAGAGACTGAAGGAAAGCCCCAGCAGCTCAGCCCTCCAGGAGGTGTGCAGAGCCCCCCTCGCTCTCTCAGGAGCCCGTCTTCACTGCCCAGCATCCCGACGGCAGTCCCACAGGGCACAGGCAGGACAATTTGTCCTCACAGAGAGCTAACAGTGCAAAACCAGTGAGACAGCTGGGAGACATGAGGAGGCACCGTCATTGCCATCTGCAACACCTGGAGGTCAAACATCAGCCTGGACTGAAGCAACTCACATGGGCTGACATGTTCCCTGCCACCCCATCTCAAACCCACACCTAAGAGAGGCTGTCTGTCATCTCTCTGCCTTGGATACTTAACTATTGCTGCTGTGCTTTCAAGACAAAACAGATGCCACTTTCTCTGTTTAGGCCACCCGGCTGGTCCCAGCACCTGCCAGGTTCAGCCATGAGTGCTTGGAGCTGCCTGCTTACCAGCAACGGAGCGAGTCCTCCGTCCCCACACAGGGAGTTTCCAGTGTTCATCCCTGCATCTCCCCAACCAGAGGTACCAGCTCGCTCGCTGTGGGATGGAGAGCTGTGTCCAACAAGGGTTGGTCTCAATCCTCCTAACTGCAGCAAAGGAGTGCCTGGCTTGTCGCTGGGAGCACGGCTCCGATAGAAATACAGGCTGAGCATGGCACAGTGCCATGCATCCATCACAGACAAAGGGCTCTGGGACCATAACCCCTGAGCAGTGTTTAATCAGCAGAAGATAAATATGTTGTAATGTCCTTCATGACTTAGAAAGCTTGAGAGGTCTGACTCAAGGTTGTGACAAGCCCTGCCCCATTTCCCATCCATTATATGGCTCAGGACTCTCTCCAAACTTCAAAGATCATTGCAGAAGGGAGGCTGGGGCAAACCAGCAGATCAGACTCAGCTGGGAAGTGCGCAGTATCTAATTTAGTCTCCTGTCAGGTTCAGTTCTGAGCACAAGTATGATTACCACCTCCTCATCTGCATGTGAAGAGCCACGAATCCATCTACCAAAAGAACCAAATCTCCTCTATATAGTTGCACAGAAACACCTATTTTTTTTTTTTTTAGAGATTGCAGTTTGTTCTGATACTACGGGGGATAATTGTTCTTTCCTCCCTTTCTCCCGTGCTCTGCCTCCCACCTCTCTGCTCGGTGAGGGAGAAGACAGCACAGCGTGTCTCATAACACAGACCCCTCCAAACCCCTCTGTCCCCCTGCAGTGCACAGCCCACACATTCTCTTGCAATGAACACACTGTGGTACCCAGTGATGGGTGGGGTGTGAGGTGTGGGCTGCAAATTCACAGGGACCCCAAAACAGCCACTCGACAAGACTATGTCCCATAGCCCCTGCACAGCACAACCAGCTCCCCAGGCTCTTTGCACAGGGGAAGGCTTTGGCTCGGCTACAGTCAAAGGCAGACACCCCAGCATCATCAAAGCTGATAAAACAAAAGGCAAGGAACCTTCCTCCCAGAGAGCCACTGAAGTGCCCCAACAGGGTCAGGGCATTTGGGGAAGTCCATCCTTTGCCTTTCATTACTTCACCCAGTGGCTGGTGGGCCTACAAAGGCAGAACCTGGGAGGAGGAAATGGGGGGTGTCATGACCCCTTTGCTAGAGAAGATGGAGTAGGCAGCCTCCCCCAGCGTGGTCCGCGTGGGGTCAAGTTGTTCCCTCAGACCAAACAGCAGGGCTTGCCAAAATGCAGGGACGACACAGCATTCTCCCAACTCTTTCCTGAGCACAGCTCTGGAGAAGCTGCACATGCCAACACATACCTGTTATCTACAAACCCATGTTGCCTGAGCACCCTAAGGATTCCTGGGTGCTTCTCTTGCCCCCTCCCTTTTTAAACATTTAATTGATCAGATATTTCAAATGCAAAACAAAACCAATCCTTTACAAAAACTCTGAAGAAGTACTCTTTCTAGTGACCGCAGGCATGCTGCAGCATCCCAGAAACACCCACCTTAGTACATGAGTCGATCCATTTATTGTGGTGGTGGAACAGGGGACCGTCTGCCCCAGGATGGAAGGCCTTCGGTATCGCTCATCACCACAGCAGAGGATGATAAGGAAGGCACGTCTGAAAGACTTGTTCAGGAAGGCGTAGAGGAAAGGGTTCAACCCTGAATTGATGTAGCCCAGCCACAGGAAAGCCGTCCACAGCTTTCCCGGCACTGTGTAGTTTATGAAAGGGTCCACTATGTTTGTGACAAAGAAGGGGGCCCAGCACAGGCAGAAGCACCCCATGATGATGCACAGGGTCTTGGCAGCTTTGGTCTCAGTCTTCATGCGGTGGGTGCTGTGCTGGTCCGGGTGGTGCTGCCGGCCGTCGGCGGGGGTCCCCGCGCGCTGCAGCACCTGGATCTGGCGGGCGGGCTCCCTGGCCGTGACATAGATGCGGTAGTAGGCCAGCACCATCAGAATGTAGAAGGCCACCACGGAGCAGGTAATGGCGTATGGCTTGTTGACCATGAATATGCAGTAAGTGGAGTTGGAAGCCTTGTTGAACTGCCTTTGCTGAATCTGGGGCAGCAGGAGGAAGGACAAAGAAGAAGAAAAGAAGTTCAGCGCTTCTCCTCCGATACCAGCAGTCTGTTTGCCAGGGCACCTCACCACCACTTTTCCGATTCTCCCTCCTCCTTCCCCTCTCCCAACCGCAGTACCTGCCTTACCCACTGCTGCCTCCCCTGCCTGTGCTTACACCACGGGCTCTCCAGCGCTGCTGGTCCCCATGTCTGCAGGACCAGGCCATGTTGCAGCTCTGGCATCCTAGAGCATACCTCAACCTGGCCAGTGAAAATCAGCTCAACTGCCCAGCTCGGGCACAGCAAAGGGGAATAACTTCACTTCGTGCTGTGCTCACTGCTCTGTTCATCAGGGCATGGTTTTACACCAAGGACGCACAAGTTTCACCCAGCCGAGTCCCACAGGGGTATTAGAGAAGGACCAGACAGACAGGGAAGGGACCAGGCTGCAGCAACTGGGGGCAGCTCCAGGCTGGGGGTGACACTGAGCTTCCTGAGCACAGGGGCTGTGGGCAGCAGCCCAGGCAGAACTCTGCGGGTTGAGTCTGTAGGCTGAGATCTGGTCAATGACTTGTGATGGAAACTGAGATAGCAGATGGAGGAAGGGGGTCTTGCATGTGAATTTGGGGAGCAGAGGGCATAACTGGGGTGGACAGAATTTCTCCAGGGCTGTTCTTGCCACAAAACACTGTCACTGCAGGTTCATCAGGCCCATAATTTCTGGTGTTTATTCCCACAGAAGAATAACTCCATCTTCTGTTTAAAACAATAACATCAAAATTATTTAACTGGGCATGTAAAGAATTTCACCTCTACAGTAAACTATGAAGTACTTTCAGTAGGTGGTGTTTGCACCCTGCACTACCTCTCAGCATGCAGCTACTGAAATCTGCACGGTTTAGAGTCTTTTCTGAAAAGGTGGGGGCAAGAAATCAGTGGAAGAAATCAGATACCTGACATGGTTTGTCAAATAAACAAAATGCACCTCCCTTTTCCACCAGCTGCATGTCCTAAAGGTGCTTGTCTGGAAGCAATTTTGGCTTTATCGCCTTGTCTAGAGGGTTGGCAGCTTGCACCTGTTATTCTCCATGAGCCAGAAAGCATTCAGATCTGCTTGACTGAGACTTGGCATAGACGATGCCACATCTCTTTAAACAAGCTTTTCTAAATAAGGTGTTTTCACAGTTTGCCGTTTTTAAATTCCTGCATCTCCAGATTGGAAGGAAAGCAGATCTGCAGCTCTTCACTCCTTGCCCTGTAGACGGGATCATGCAAGTGAAGCCAGACTGTGGTGGGTTTTTTTAAACGATTTGCACAGGGCAACTTTCCCTTCTCACCCCCTTCAAGGCTCACACCAGGACAGGGGATGCTGATGGGACTGATCCAAAGCACCATCCCTTCTGGGGAAGTCTGGGTTTCCTGGCTCTCCAAACATGGCTAGCACGGCAAGGAGGGACCCTCGGGCTCGGCCGGCGGTGGCCAGCACTCCCCGAGAGCTGCAGAGGCCAAGGGGAAGTGAGGACTACCGAGGTGCCCGTCGGGAGCCAGCTGGGACTTGACGTGTGTCCAAAGGCTAACTCACTGAACTGATTAGCAGACGTGGGTGGCTCTCCCAGAGCCACCACTCTCTTTGTGACAGTCCTTTCAAACCCCCTGACAGACATCCGCCAGCAACTCAGCGGTGCCTCTGCATCGAGAATAAGAGGTTCAGCATCTCTTGACGCCGTCTCTCTGCGTACTGCTTTTTAAAGAACATACTGCACTGAATACATCTGATTCCAGGTTGGTGTACCTCCTTAGCTACTCACCAGATCAATGATGCCAATGCTATTCCAGCCTTGCATGATAGGGAGGAAAGAAATAAAGGTCGGGATTACCCAGCACCCTCCAAGCATTACAGCGATGCGCAACGGAGTCATCTTGTTCCTGTAAACCAGAGGCTGGCAGCAGATAGCATAGTACCTGCAAGGAGAAAAGTGAGAGCACAACCATCATCAAAGGTTCTTCATGCCGGCCTTCAAAAAAAAAAACCAAAAAACAAACTGCAAAGCATTTTCTCCAGCTTGTTTCTCATGCCCTTCAAAACAGAGAAAAAAACGAGTCTAAATCCTATTTCCACTGTCTCTCAGACGAGGAGCTACGGATATTTTCACAACATGAGTAAATAACGTTTCACAGTGCCTTGAAGGGAAAAGACAATATTTTCTGTTTTCCAGTTAGGGAAAATGAGGCACAGATTAATGCTGTGGTTTGTCTGAGGTCACAGAGCAAGGGAGTGACTTCGTTCAGCCCTCCTCTCCCTCTGCACTTAGTCACAAAGCTGTCTGCACCCTCCTTACCACCATGAGTGAGTCCACCTTCCTGCCATTTAGCCATAATTGAGTAAACGTTGGGGTTTTCCTAGCTGCAATGGACATTTATTTTGACAAGACTGCAAAAGCTGTTACTGCAAATTAACAGAGTGTTTCAAAGCTGTGAAAATGTCAGTAAAATAAAGTGTGTTTTTCTGTAACCAAGCTCCTTTTCTACCTCCCAGGAATCAGTCTCTTGTCTGTCTGGGCTTTAGCCTTCTGCCACAACGACAGGGAGAATGTCGGCACAGGGTTTCTAGTCTTTTCACCATCAAGGGGACGTGCCTGGCACTGTCCTGTCTCCTCCTGATGCATCCAACATATCCCTAGTACAACAGGCCCCTGCTCTGAAAATAACAACTACCTATGAACTCAAAATGTCTTCTCAAAGAGGTACGAAACCATCTGTTCTGTCTGGTCCCTGTGCTACCCACCTGCTAGCAGATTTCTACATCAGGAAGGTGTATCAAACCTAAAACAGGAAATCTCATTGCTCTAAAATTAATACATGCCATGAGCATAGCAGATCAGCAACCGTATCACCCTACTGCAGATTTTTGGTGGTCCTGAGCTGACAGCCTGTCTCAGGTTCTCAATGACATATTTTTGATCTTCTGATTTCGGGATTTCAGCCCACATCATAGAAACAGGCCAGTCCTGATATCCTTACCACCGTGACAGGGAACCGGGGGCAGAGACTCAAAAGGTGCCCATAAATGCTCAGGTCTTCTAAACAACTAAATACATCATTCAGCTGTGTGCCTGATAAATGTTATTTTCTTAGTGAATGAATAATGATCCTCTGGTAGGTGTGTTTTCCAGATGTGTTAAGCAGAGAAACGATGCAAATGGTGCCCCACAGGCTATGAGCACTGCACTGAAGAGTGAAGTTTCAATCACTGTTCACAAAGGCAACGAATGATCTCGTGTCAGAGGTGTTTTTGAGTCAAGCCTCAACAGCCAGGTATAATGTGTACGTGTAGAGAGCCTCACTGCTGAATGCCCATAAAAATCAATTTTAGGAGGTGACTACAAACATGAATTAGAGACATTAAATTAGCAAACACACACTAAATCTGTACCACTAACCTGAGGAGTAACCTGTGAGAATTTCCAAGTGCCAGCAGCACATTAAAATAATACATATGCAAATACATACATACACACAATTTATGTGCAGATATGAGAGAGATGTCCCTGAGGTGCACAATTTCTTTCATCTAGATGTGAGTGGGAATCTAAAGTTTTGTGCTAAACAGGCAAAAAAATCCATGCATTTCAAAAAATTTTTAAGACTTTTTTTAAAAAGCCATGTGGAGTCAACTGAATCGCTTCATTTTGATAAAATAAGATTATATATTCCACACAAAAGGTTGAAATAATATTAAAGTGTCAAAAGAAAACATTTTTTAAAAGTCTCTTTGAAACAAGATTCAAAATGTCACAGGGGAAAAATGTTGAAACAAGCATTCAACTATCTCAATTTCATCATTTCTACATTCTCTTCTGGTTTCCATGTGCATGAAAATCAGCCTATTGCTCTGAAAAGTTTCACTTTTAAAGAAATGGTATCTTTCATAGTAACTGTTTTTTTAGAGCTTTGGGTGGAATGTTCCTCTCATGGAGCTAATGCTAACAGCCATGGCAGGATCTGACTCTTGTCCCTACTAGCAAAGCCCTTACATCCCTCCCAGGAGGGAGAAGGGGAAGCTGAACAATTTACAGGAACAGGATTTACTTAGTTTTGGCGCCTGCCTTCACTGGATCACGAGTTGAACAAGCGAGGGTAGTCAGCCTTGAAGACATGCAAAACTCAGCCAGGTAAGACCCTGAGTGACCTAATTAAATGTAGGCAGATTTAAGTTTGAATTTGACCCTCTCAAAGGAGGGCTGGATCAGAGACCTGCAGAGGTCCTTTCCAACTTAATTTTTTCTGAGTCTATCAGACAATGAGGGCCATCACGGTCAGATTTCAATATCCTAATGATTTCAGAGGATAGAATAAATATTCCTTTGTTCTTAGGATAACTACCCTCCTCGTGACAGCTACATGTGTTTGTGTAACCTTGTCTTGTGTTGCTAGAGTTTGCTGCGTTTGGGTTTCCCCCTGCTCTCCAGATTTCCTTCCCCCAGGAAATAAACTGACCTTTGAATTCAAACAGGTATTTTCAGTAATGTTTTTTGGCTGCTTATTAGGACAGATGGTGCTTCTGTTGGCATTACAAGGAACTGCTCTTCTGACTCTAAACACAAGGGAGATATATCAGGCATATTTAATTGTTTACTCCTGGAAAGTGCTACCCAGTGCTGGACAGCAAAGGATTCATGTGACATGCCTGATGGCAAGTTACTGCAAGTCACCAGAGACTATATGTATTTGCAGAAAGGGCAAAAGAAGAAACTCGATAAATAAATTGGAAAGAACAGCCAAGGCACCAGCTACCATTTCACAGGCTGAATAAGCAAACAGAAAAGGAAAAACACAATACATTGCTAATTAACTACTGCAGGAAAACAATTCTCCCAAGCAGTTTGAGTTACTACATTTCTGTACTTCTATCTCTGCTGCAGCTGACAGCATTACACTGACTTTTTACACGCTATTAAAGGCCATTAGAGTCAAAATTATGCCTGTAAAAATGACATCTTAAGCTCTCATATTTCTTCTCTCCCAGTGATTCAGCAGCAATTTTCCTCCACTTACGTGTCAAAAGATTATATATATATATATATATTGCTAACTGCTGCTACCGTGACTTCCCTTGTGTTCAGAAAGTCGAGCTGGGTTTCTCCTGCCTTGCACCATTATCGTTAACAAGGTTCGGCAATCAGAGTGTGGGTGACAATTTTGCTGATGGCGAGGGAGGCAGAGAAGCACACCATCCACTTTCCCATAGCTCAGCAGGATTTCCATTCAGTGGCCCAGAGAGTCAGATAATAGAAATCTGCGTATGTTAACGGAAGTCATTGAAGTCACACCAATTTATGTGGTAGCTGGTGATTTGATGTATGTGATGCTTTGGGCATTTAGGCAGGTATTTATTCACTGAGAGAAAAGTAATTATATCTCTAAGATTATCAATAGTTTTAGTCAAAAGCTGAAATAAAGACATTTTCTTACGCTACATTTCTGCTTCCTTTCAAGCTAGAGCTGTTTTCCTGTGCTCATAAAGAATATCTATTATGTACTGGTATGAGCGTGTGATGGATGAATATAAAATGTAATACATATACATGATTAATAGGATGCCCAAGTTTAATTAAATATTAATTCTTACTATTATCAACCAAGACCCTTTTTTTGTGCAGTTCCCTGAAAATGTTAACTTCCCTGTTACCTACAGCAGAGCAGATGATGTGAAACACATCCTCTCCTCCGCCTCTGTTATGACATTCTTCTCTGAAGGGGAAATACAAGAATCCCTTCCTGGAGCTGTAGATCTTCCAAGTAGCTCCATAAAGCAAAGGTTATTATACTACTTTTCCTTGCCCACATCAGACATTTGCCACATGAATGAATCAAGCACTACCTTTTTATAGATGACTCAAAACAACAATTCCATAGTTCTTAAAGCCTTACTACGGCTCTTATGGCCACTGCAGATATGTCCAGCTACCAAGGATTTGTGACCTGCCCAGTGTCACTTCATGGCTCTGCGAAGCAGCGCAGTGGCCAGACTCTGTCTCAAGGAAGATGTATGTGACTCTCCCTGGTATTCCAGTGATGTGGATTTAGGAGGGACCAATTAGTACCAAGTGAATCAATTCCCAAAAGTGAACCTCCTGTGTTATGAACACCCTCCCAGCATCTTTGAGGCAATGCAGGTGCACCTCAGTTACGTTCACAAAAGCTATAAAAAAAGCACTCAAGGGTCAGTCATCCAGTGCCCCAGTCTGTGGGGCAATTTCCTCCATATTCCTACATGCATCACTGGCAGGAGCTCCCACAGTCACAGAGGAACCTCATATATCCAGGGTCCACGAGCTGGGAGATCAGAATGTTTTATCCTTTTACAACAGGATTTGCACTCTGCCCGCCAGCAAGCTCCTCTTTACAGTCAGTGCTACACGTAAAACCAGAATGCAGATATAAACGCCCGATGAACTGTACAGCAGTAACACATTTGTACTTAACAGCCTTCAGCACTTTGGGTAAAGAAGGCATAATATCACATTCCTCAGCAGCAGGATCATGGACAGCTTGCCTAACGTTAAACTTGTGTGTGTATGAAGACAGGAGATGGCAGATAAGAGGGAAGCTGTGAAGACAAAGAGAAAATAGACAGAAAATGAACCTCAGTTATATTCTTGCCTTGTACAACTAAAAGCTGAATCTGCCGTGTTGGTCCAAGGCTTTCAGGGAAATGTGTCCTAAATCCTGGGTGTTGATGCCCTTTTGCCCGAATGAACAATCCTACGTGCACATGCTCACATGTATGCACACTCCTTGCATACATACATTCCCAGCCTTTCCTCCAGGAAAAAACCAAGAAATTCTTGGAAAGCACAACAACTTTGAAGTGAAGACACCTGTAGTTATTACAAGATTATAGCTCCTAGGTTCTTCTACACAAGAAAGGAAAGACTGAGACTGAGAAACAGCAGTGTGTT